ATATCCTCCTTCTTTTCCTTCTCCTCCTCCTCCTGCCTCCTCCTCCTCCTCCTCCTTCCTCCTCCTCCTCCTCTCCTCCTCCTTCTTCTTTCTCCTTCTCCTCCTCCTCCTCCTCCTCCTACTCCTCCACCTACGCCTCCTTTTCGTTTATTTTCTTCTTCTTCTTTTTTTTTCTTCTTCTTCTTCTTCTTCTTCTTATAATAATTATTATTATTAGTAGTAGTAGTAGTGGTAGTGGTAGTGATAGTAGTAGTAGTAGTAGTAGTAATAGTAGTGGCAGCACACACACACACAGACCCCCCACACACACACACACACACACACACACGCGCGCACGCACACGCACGCACACACACATAATATCAAGAGCTAATAAATACTAGTATTATTTATGAGCTCTTGATAATATATATATATATATATATATATATATACATGATATTAGAATTAATAATTAATGAATTAATCATCTTTCAGCCGAGGCGTGTCCGTCGGCGGAGGATGGCCGACGTCTGCACGTGTGTCCGACGCCGGACGTGCGGGGCGAGTACGGATGCGTCGACGACCACCAGCTGTGTGACGGCAAGCGGGATTGCGCGGGCGGTGAGGATGAGTCAAGACTCAACTGTCTCTTCCACAGAGTGGTGAGTGTGTTTTAAATGGTCTCTTGCCATAAATGTCTCTTCTCACAGGCTGGTGAGTGTGTTAATGTCTCTTCCATAACGATGTCTCTCATAAATGTCTCTTCCATAAATGGTCTCTTCTACAGAGTGAGTAGTGTTTAAATGTCTCTCTCTACAGAATGGTGACGGTGGTTTAAACGTCTCTTCCAATAAATGTCTCTTCTACAAGAAGTGGGTGAGTGCTGTTTAAAGCGTCCTTCCATAAAGTCCTCTTCTATAAATGTCTCTTCTTGAAGAGTGGTGAGTGTGTTCTAAAACCGTCTCCTCCATAATTATGTCTCTTCTTAACAGAGTGGTGAGCGTGTGTTTAAATGTCTTCTTCCATAAATGTCTCTTCTACAGAGTGGTGAGTGAGGTTTCAACGTCTCTATCCATATATGTCTCTCTCTACAGTAGTGGTGGTGTGTTTAAATGTCTCGTTCCATAAAATGTACTCTTTCCATAAAGTCTCTTCTACAGGGGTGAGTGTGTTTAAACGAGTCTGTCCATAAATGTCGCTTTTTACAGAGTGGTGAGCTGTGTTTAAATGTCTCTTTCATAAATGTCTCGTCTAAAGAGTGAGTGAAGTGTGTTTTAAATGTCATCTTCCATAAATGTCTCTTCTACAGAGTTGGTGCAGTGTTGTTTAAACGTCATCTATCCATACAAATGTCTCATTCCTACAGAGTGGGGAGTTGTGTTTAAATTGTCTTTTCCATAACATGTATCTTCCATTAATAGGTCTCTTCTACAAGAATGTGCTTTTCTGAGTGTGTTTAAACGTCTCTTACCATTAAATGTCTCTTCTACAGGGTGGTCGAGTGTGATTTTAAAACGTCTCTTCATAAATGCTCGTCACAGAAAGTGGTGAGTTGTTTAAACGTCTCTTCCATAAAGTTCTCTTCAATACAGGTGGTGAGTGGTTTAAATGTCTCTATCCATAAATGTCTCTTCTACAAAGTGATGAGGTGATTTAAATGTCTCTTCCAATAAATAGTCTCTTCTACCAGAGTGGTGAGGTGTCTTAAACGTTCTCTTCCATAAAATGTCTTTTCACAGAGTGGTGAGTGTGTTAAATTCTTTTCCATAAATGTCTCTTCCATAAATGGCTCTCTCTACCAGAGTGGTGGTGTGTTTAACTTGCCCCGAGCTCATCCAGACGCACGCACGCCACGGACGGACGGCCATACACGTGTACGTGCATATGTGGACGCGTAACGTAAGGTGTGTGGCCGTGCGCGCGCGCGTCAGCGTGTGTATGATCTTCCCATCTTTTCCATAAATGTCTCTTCCATAAATGTCTCTTCTACAGAGTGGTGAGTGTGTTTAAACGTCTCTTCCATAAATGTCTCTTCTACAGAGTGGTGAGTGTGTTTAAACTTGCCCCCGGCTCATCCAGACGCACGCACGCACGGACGGACGGACATACACGTGTACGTGCATATGTGACGCGTAACGTAAGGTGTGTGTGCGTGCGCGCGCGCGTGTGTATGTGAGGAGGGGGGGGGAGGGTGTGATGAACAGTCTATGATATTGCATACTTGCATGCTCGTACATGTCGATGCAATGAGTACGTATCTAAACACGCGCACACACACATATAGGTTGCGCTCGTTCTTTTCCACACGCATACGCACGCCTACACACATCACGCTAAGATTTGATAACCAACGCGAGCAAATATTTGGTGCACGTATAACATATATATAATATTATGGGGTTATCCATAACTTGCTCGCTTCACCGACCAAGCAGCCACTCCTCAAGTGTTTGTCAATACATGCATATTCTTTATCTGTATGTTATATTGATATGTTTGTCTCTACATCTCTTGCCGCACGTTTCGTGTGTATGAATAACGCCCGCGTTCCGATGATTCATAGGTTGAAGATCAGTTTGAAGATTTGCTGATGAATATACTAGCCCTCAATCAACATATAACTGAATCTAGACAGCTCAGCGACCGATACCGCAGGAGCCCTAACAGCGATGAGGATGAAGATGGCGGAGGCATCGTGCTCGCTGCGTCGTCCGACGAAAGTAGATCTGAAAGAAAGATCCAACGTGATGTAGAACTCGAGAGAATTCGTGTTATAGTGGAAAGATTGAAAAACATGATAAGCAAACGAAGCTGAGCTCGGCTGGAGAGAGAGAGAGAGAGACAGAAAGAAAGGGGGGAGGTGAGAGGGAGAGAGAGAGAGAAAGAAAGAAAGGGAAGGGGAGGAGAGAGAGAAAGAAAGAGAGAGAGAGAGAGAGAGAGAGAGAGAGAGAAGGCGCTAGGGGGCGCTACGGGGGCGCTACGGGGGCGTTACGGGAGCGCTACGGGGGCGTTACGGGGGCGCTACGGGGGCGCTACGGGACGCCTCGTTGCCGTCAAAATATGATCTCTACCATTTTATACCTCACTGCGTATATACCCATCAAACACATTCATGCCAATCTTCACGTTCATCAACCCATCTGCTCTCTCGGTGCGTGTTCTCCGAGAGAGAAGCATTCGTCATAGCATACTCTACTCATTCTACTTATTATGCTAGGTAACACCGCGGTACAAATAATTTATCCGCGGTAAAATTATGTGTATTAAGGCCTCTGACTGGTTAAAATGGCTATAATTTAACTGCGGCTAAAACTATTTTTATTGCGGTAAAAAAAATCATTTCTGAGTAGACGATATATTCGTCGACCATGTTCGTCATAGCCTATTTTACTCATTCTGCTTATTATGCTAGCTAATGAGATCGTGTTTTGATGCAATTCTGACGTCATCAGGAGCAGATTAACACCTTATTGGTTTCATGATGTCGTACGTGTGCTAATCGATTCTGGAAAAATCTATTTCCGCCAATATTCCTACCGAATGTGCAGTGCGACCGTCTGTTGTTGATAGCAACATCATTAGAACACGAAACTCCATGACGAATAAGGGGAGTATGAACGATATAATATAATATATCGATGTAATATTATTACATAAGGGAAATTGGGAAAATTGAGTCCATGGGAAACATGTTATCAGAAGTAAAATAACCGTACATTATATGTTTTTATTTTACTCCCGGGTAATAGCAAAAATGAACAAGGCTAGATAAATCTATTTAGAAATATAGAACATTGCAAAAATCGGCCTAATTTCAAACGCTTTAGTTTGCTAAAACCCATAATCAAAATCCATGTTATTGGTGTACATTTCAAATTGGAAATTTCCTTCGTGCATCTCTCAATCATCCCTACTGTCAATGCAACAAATCGAATGTTTGTACAGGTTGGTTTTAAAATGCCACGATATCATTTATTATTGTATTATCTATTTATGCCGATACCGGTATCGATGACACATGGACACGCAACCATTTCATCATTGCGTCAATATTGCGAAAATTGCGTCCACATATTTATTGAGAAGATGTAGTGGCTAATCAAACAACATTAGTGTATGTAAACACAGTCGGTGTTTACAGGACGCTCGTGATCACTGTTTACACAAAGTGATATACTCTACTTTCATATGTGTAGAAGAAGTACCATATAGTTATATATATAAGTTATTACAGAATATACACTCTCTCACCTTCCTCTCGTTCTCATGCTTTCATTCGCTCGTGCGCGTGCCACTCTCTCTCTCTCTCTCTCTCTCTCTCTCTCTCTCTCTCTCTCGTTCTTTCTTTCTTTCTCTCTCTCTGTCTGCCCGTCATTGTATCTATCTATCTCTATCAATCTCTCATGTGTATACAGAATGCTTGTTAGAAAATTTATAGCTTATGTAGCTTATGTATTATGTATTATGTATTATGTATTATGTATTATGTAGATTGCTCGGGTTTACATAATAGTTAGCTAAGCTAATTATATTTATAATAAAAACATTAAATAAAATTCTCATTTTATTTGTATATTAAACATGGAATTATTTATTTCATTCAGTATCTCATAAAAGATTATTTTACACGACTGATACACGCAAAAGCATAACAAATATAGGAAATGGAAAAATTTAACTGTTAGAATAAAAATCATCAAACGCTCCAGAAAAAAACAATGTCGAAACAATTCCTTTTAAATAATCTATGTTTTAAATAATCTATGTTTTAAATAATCTATGTTGCGGTATTTAGTTCCTATGACACTGATACGCAATAACGCACACACACGTACACACGCACGTAAGCACGCACGCACGCACGCAATCAGAAATATGCATATATATAAAAGCAACAAACTGGTACAATTGCAAAAGCATCCAGACAATCCTGGTTCCCAAAATATTTTCGGGATAAACCGCGAAACGACTTAATTAATACGTAACAACTCGCGCAAAACGTAATCGGGAAAATTCAGTTCGATGTACGAATTCTCCGTCAGATGGCGCCACGAGCACACTAACGGAAGTCCCGCTGGGGCATGGGCGGCACGTGCACGGACGCGTGGTTGCTGTAGTTGTCGAGTCCGTACGGTTGTAAGGAATTCGGGTGAAAGCCAGGCGCCTCTACGTAGCGGTCCTGCGCGGCTTTCCTCCGCAAGGGGGCAGCAGGTGGCGGTTTGTCTCCCGTACACCAGTTAGCAGCAAAGAGGAGCTGATCTATCACGGCTATGCAGAATGGGTCCTGCGGGAAACGTGAATATAGGAATGAAAATAGAGAGAATATTGTTTTGATGTGATGTACGGCATCTAGAGTATGTGCGAAGATCTACGAGGAAATGTCGATGTTAAGACTAATTTTGTTTCTGACAAATGGCTCCTGGTATCCAGAGAATGTACCTATGCGATACTAGAACACACGCGCGAGACGTTATATATATTATAGTAATGGGTAGCTGATAGTGTTTCACCTGCGCAGCTCTCGTGTGCGTGCGCCTTCTGCTGAGAATGTAGATTTATGTAGCAGTGTGGGATGAGGATAGGCGATTGTGAACGCTCACAAAACCCGTCGATGGTGTAGCGTGCGTGTTGGCGAGAACATAGGCAAACACGCACACCATCAGTCTCTCCCCACTCTTTTTCTTTCTTTCTCTCTCTCTATCTCTCTCTCTCTCTCTCTCCCTCTCTTTTTCTCTCTCTCTCTCTCTCTCTCTCTCTCTCTCTCTCTT